GAATGAGTGCATAAGGATTAATAGCAGTTGTATCTCGCTATTAACCCCTACGGACCCAATCTTCCAAAATCCTTCCTAATCTTCTTCTGTAAAAGTGGTCTTGTTGATGTAGCTGAAAAAGTCAAGTGTTGTTCTTGCATCCAAAAAAGTACTAAGTGGATTGAAAAAAAGTGGATCTATTTCACTTTTTTCAACCCACCTTGTTCTTCCCCAAATGCTTGAAAACTTCCTACTTTCCTACCTACCTACCTTCCTTCCTACCTACCTACCTACCTACTACCTACCTACCTACTTACCTACCTACCTACCTACCTACCTACCTTCTTACCAAAGTCTTCTTCTCATGGAAACACTTTGTTTGTTGTTTTTGGATTCTGAAGACCAGGTACAAGAGAGTTCAGAAGCAGTTGTATCTCGCTACTGAACCCTCTGGTCCCAACCTTCCAAAATCCTTCCAAATCTTCTTCTGTCAAAGTGGTATTGTTGATGTAGCTGAAAAAAGTCAAGTTTTGTTCTACCTACCTACCTTCTTACCATTTAATTCGAAACGTTTACTCACTTTGTTGATTCTACAGCCAAAAAGTTGGATGTTCACAGGAATGAAGCTGTTTTATCTGGCTACATACCTGTGAACTTCCAACTTCTGGACTCCAATATTAGCCCAAATTACAGGGCTTACATGGAGCTTGGTCAACTTGGTGCAACAGTCTTTTAAGTTTTCTCACTTTGTTGATTTTAGAGCCAAAAATACTAGAAGTACACAAGCATGTAGCGGTTCTATCTGGCTGCATGCCTGTGAACTTCCAGCTTCCGGACTCCAATATTAGCCCAGTTACAGGGCTTACATGGAGCTTGGTCAACTTGGTACAACAGTCTTTTAAGTTTACTCATTTTGTTGATTTCAGAGCCGTAAAACTAGAAGTGCACATACATGGAGCTGTTGTATCTGGCTACATCCATGTGAACTTCCAACTTTCGAACTAAACCGCTAAACCCAAACAAATGTAATTTATAAAAGTCTTGCCAAAATGCGACCAGCTACGATGAATAACTGACAACAAGTGAAGTGCAATGAAGGCAAGCAGTGTCATGACGCAATAAATGATAATTATATGCATGTGACCTACATTCAAGAAATTGACAGTTTCTGTGTCTGTGAATTAAGTTTTGAAGGACATTTGGTCCACATTTATGAAATAAAATGCACTGAAGTCGATGATAATGCCTAAATGACTCCCCAGAGCCCCGCTTGGCCGTGAAAAATCTATCATTTTTTTTTGCCCTAACTAACTTTACGGGAGGTAACTCATTTGTTTACATTTTTTCGACAAGTAAAGGTGCCTAAAACTGAAATTTTTTTATTGCATTTTTGAAATCCCAAGTGTATTCTGTCCTAGAAAAAGTGTCTGAAAACCCCTGAAAAAGCTTTTTCTGGCGCCAAAAAAATAAAAGTCCAAAAAACCCTTCTCCAGCAATAAAAAATAAAATAAAAACAAGTCTACCTAAAGTCTGTCCCACGGTTAAATCTCCGTTAAAGTTCGATTTCGATTGTACATGCGGAAAGTCAATTCACTCCTCTATCCGATCAGTAAAGTTCCAAATCCCTAAAGTCACCAAACTACCCGGTTGCCGCGCTTTTCTACTTGTTGCACAGACTTAGTTACTAAAACAAGATGGCCGCCGATTGGTGACATATCGAAATTTGTAGAACTAAAGTGCCCATTGCCATTTCAAATATCCCATCCAAAGACTACTTTTTGCATTTTGAAAATCAAAAGGCCTAACCGCTAAGCCCACCTGAATTCAGTGTCCAAAAAAACCTGTCCAGACCATTAGAACTATGTAAATTGTCCCTTAAAACTCCAGGCTCGGGGGGTATATCAAGTTTCTTAGAGTAAAGAGAAGAAAAGCATATACCCTACCATTTG